TTTCCTACGTTGTTGTGATTTGATCTGAACGGAAACAGCGTATCCGCATGACGCAGCTGACACAGAAAACAGCATTTTGTTTACTTCCAGCTGATATTCTCCAAAATGGCGCTACAGGGTGATGCGGAGGAGACGAATTGTTGAATAAAGTCGTTTTTTTCTTTTTTTTTCTTTTGCTCACAAAAAGTATTCTCGTAGCTTTGTATAATTGCATTTGAACCACTGATGCCACATGGATTATTTTACAGATCTCCTTGCTGCGTTTCTGGACTTGGGAACATGTCAGTATTACTGTCTATGGGAGGGTCAGACAGCTCTCAGATTCCATCAAAAATATCTTAATTTGTGTTCCGAAGATGAACGGAGGTCTTACGGGTTTGAAACGACATGAGGGTGAGTAATTAATGACATAATTTTCATTTTTGGGTGAACTATCCCTTTAAGTCGAATTTCACAGGCTCTTTATTATTATGTTAACATTAGAAAAATGAAATATATGTACATTTCCAGTGTGTTTTGATCCAAAGAACCAGCTTATACTGTCAAGTACTGACGGTTTTTTTCTGAACGGTTGGTTAGGAAAGCACTTTTTTTTTTGAAGATGACAGCGATGTCTTGCGCCCTCATGTGACTGTGAGAAAAACAACCACTTTCCACCATCCACTTCAGTTGAAAGAAATAATCATATAATGGACCAGTGAGAAAAGTTTAAATTAGTCAAAAAATAGAGAATAGGCAATAGGGAAATTCAAGCCTGAAATATGATTACACAGTCCTGAAGACGGTTGGAAACATCACATTTAAATCAGTTCAGTTACACAAATGACTGTTTTCTTTAGCAGTGGTTTTATGTTGGTTTCAAACACTAAAATTGTATTGAATAAGGATGATTCGGACATCCAAAATAAAATCTCAAATATCATTAAAAATGTTTGTAAAAGCCGTTGGGTAAATAAGTGAACACAATAAAACCACTGCATTTACCTTCACTTCTTTAAAGGGGTCATATGATGCGATTTCAATTTTTCCTTTCTCTTTGGAGTGACGTGTTTGAGAGAGGCGGGGCATAGAGGACCTACAATAATGTACAGTATTTGAAAAATAATTTGAACATTAAAGCATGTCAACATATTCTGTTACACCAAATACACAAAATAATGATCTTTAAAATAGCATCATATGACCCCTTTAAGACATTCTTGCAATTACTTTTAACCAACTAGTGAATGCTTTCACAGGTGGCCCCTCCAGCCTTAGCATCCTGTAGAGCTGGCAGGCCTTGTTTGCGTCTGGCGCCTTGGCTTGAGGCGGTAGTTTTAGCGCACTTATCTAGGGATGTGTGTAGTAAATAGTTCGTTGAGTTTTAGTTAAGTTAGTTAAGTACTGCACCAATCATATTATTAATAATGGAGTTACGTCATGGGAGATTACAGAGATCCTGTAAGGGCCACTCCATAAATCACTGGTGTAATTCCTCCATATACAAACACAAAATAAATACAAAAAATGTGAAAATAAAAGCAAAATGTTTTACCAGTTTATATTTATTTCTTTGAATGTTAATTTGAATAAGTAACTCGCCAGGTAAGTAATACCAGGTAAATAATATTTTAAAGGGGAATCACACTATGTGAGCCCCCATCTACTATTTGAAGCCCAACGTATCAGCATGTAGTAGCGGCTGCAGACAGGGTCCAACATTAACTGTCAAACAAATGTGTGCAAAGTTTGAGCAAATTTGTGTTAAAATTGGCTTTGCAAACAGCAAAGATTCATTTAAAACGAGGGAGAATGCAAGAAAATCTGATTATAATTTATGCTGCTTAGTTTTTTTCCCTTCTAAAAATCATACTTTTTGTCTGTTCCACATTGTATGAATTCATACGGGATCACCACCTCACCCATCTGCTCTGTGGATGTGAGGTCAGGGATCACTTACAAATCATAAGTTCACTAAATGGGACTAACACTCGGTGGATCCTCTCCATGCAGAGTTCTGCAAAAATATACTACGAGTGCAATAAAAAACTCCAAATAATGCCTGCAGAGCAGAATTAGGACTGTATCCAGTAGGACTGTGTTAAAATACATCAATAAAAAAGAGAGACATTATATTCATTATATTCCATGCCCACCTAAAAAGCAGCATTACTGAGACCCTGCATCACAAAGCCCTCAGATACCAGGAGCAGACCCTCAGCCAGCTGGTAATCCAAAATGTCCATCTAAACCCCAGATAGGCCAAAGCAAATTATTAAAACACAGAAAGACTGGACAGAAGCAAAAGCTCAACAAAGACATTTGAAAGTGATCTGTCCTTAATCAGAGAATATGAATTGTCAAAATACCTGAGCACTGCAGTGATTGACCCTACGACCCTAAGAAACCTTCTGATCTTGTAGGTAGATTTAACATAACTCCTAATATATCTCATATATGAACTCATTTAACCATGACTATCTCAACCGCTCTACCTTTTTCTTCTTCTTCCCCTCTATACCTGTTTTCTCAAGAGCGCCCTCTAGCACAATTACACAAGACAACAAAGGTGTTTGTATAGCTACTGAAATGGCCATCAATCCGCTGATTAGATTGAGAAGGGGCCCTGTCCAAAGGGTTTGTTTAGGTCCCTGTTGAGGTGAGTGTAAGCGTCCTGAATAAGTTACTCAGATCAACAGATTCATCACAAAAGACGTGGAACAATAATATCCTCAAGCTTTGGGCGAATGTCCAGTGGTGAACGGGACTGACTCCATGGATCTGACATATTCAGGAACGAAAGCAGTGTCTCAGACCCAGCTGCAGTCACACATAGGTGTTAAAAATACAGAGTTCATGTAAACTTCATCCCCACAATCCCTATTTATTTAAGGCTTTCGGTGACACAGATGACCATATATGGTTGAGAGGAAGAGCAGATTTAGGAAGTGAATAAAGTGGGAGGTTGCAAGTTAGGGACAGCGATATCTTTATTTTATTTCCATAACTCAAGATTTGGACTCATTGCGGTCTATTTATTTTTAGATTATTTAGTTTGTTTTTCAATATCTGGCAACGCCGGCACGCGGGCAGGTTATTCCTGACAGGATGCACTTTGGTAACACAAACGTAGTGATCATCATGATATATTATCTGTAAGACAGATGCACCGAAGACGGACACAAAGAGGAGAGAATAGTCGCACAAGCAGAGAAAATACTGTACCAGACAGAACAAAATCATTGTTTGCGATGCTCGAAATACTGAAAGAAAACCATAATTATGGAATTAGGGTGGGGGTTAATATGGATGTATTTCTGAGGAGAACTGACTGTCTT